TTTTACATAGAATCGGTGGTCATGAAATTAAAATGTGCCATAAGATTACTACTTCACATTTGAATGAGTTGCACATATAGGTTGATGTAGTTGAATTAAGGATCAAAAGGGCACTTCCTAAAGAGATATATTTACTCTCTCCTCATAATTCATCCCACACTACTTCCTCATTTAAAGTTGATCAGATTGCTTCTAATGTTAATATTGGTCCATTTAGAGGGAAATGATCTGAACCTAAGAGAAGAAAAGATGTTGCTAATAGTTCTTTAAAGAAGGCATTTAATATGCAGATGTGAGAACAATTTGGTGAAATCACAAGAATGATTTTTTTCAACTGGACTTCCTTTCAACCTTGTAAGAAATCCTTATTATAAGAATGCATTCACATTTGCATACAATAACAACCTTGTGGGCTATGTTTCACCTGAATATAATATAATAACATAAAAATTATTAGAGAGGGAAAGAGCAAATATTGAGACATTACTTGAACCTATAAAAAGAGTGTAGAAAGATAAAGGTAGTTTAGTGTGTCATAGTTGGACTGATCCTCAAAGAATACCACTCATCAATTTCATGATTGTTATAGAAAATTATCCAATGTTCATCAAAGCAATGAATTATGAAGGGCGATACAAAGAAAAATATTTTGTTTCAAATTTGATCAAAGAGGTGATAGTAATGATTGGGCTATCAAATGTTGTTTAGGTTATAACTGATAACACACCAGTATGTAGAGCTGTAGGACTACTAGTGGAGCAAATTTATTCTCATATCTTCTGGACTTCATGTATTGTGCATACTTTAAATCTAACTTTAAAAATTTTTGTGAAGCCAAAAATACTGAGACAAATGAAATCATTAATATGATTGCCATTGGATAACAATGATTGTTACCAGGTAACGTTGTTTTGATTAGAAATTTTATCATAAACCACTCTATGAGATTGTTCATCTTTAATGATTTCTCAAATTTGAGAATATTAGTTGTAGTTGAAACTCATTTTGCCTCTGTTATAATCATGTTGAGAAGATTTAAATATGTAAAAAATGTACTTCAATCCATGATAATCAGTGAGAAGTACTCTTGCTATTAAGATGATGGCATTGGGAAGGCAAAATACATTAAAAAAAATCTTAGATGATTTATGATGGAATGATATTAATTATGAAAGTTCGTTAGGGATGTTAAGCCCTTATGAACTAGTCCGAGGCTAACCAAGAGGAGGGGGGATGAATTGGTGTTTTAAAAAATTCTCAAACAGAAATCACGATCTAAACCAAACAATTACCCACACAAAATAAAGTGCAAAAATTAAATACGGAAATGCAATAAGAAAGAGCACATCAGGTTTTATAGTGGTTTAGTCAACTTGACCTACGTCCACTCCCCGGAGCCTCTCTTCCGGGTATTACACTAAACTCAATGACTCTCTTTTTGCTCTCACAGTAAGGCGGAGAAGCCTTTACAAAACTCCTTTCCACCGACTCCAGTGAGTCAGAGAACCCGACCTCCTTTCGCTTCCTCCTGAAGCAGGCAGAGAACATCGATCGATTGCTGAAGTAGAACTCTCTAGAACCTCCAAGGAACTAGGGACGATGACAGGAGAAGACGACTCAGATCCTTGCTTTGAGCAACATTTGTGAACCCCTCACAAGATCCTCTCTCTCTCTCCCCCAAGTTCTCCCTCTCCTTCTCTTGGCTCTCTCAGGTCAAGACAACAACAAAAGATTAATCTTGACTCTTGAGTAAACAAGAGATCTTATATAGAAGGGCTTCAAATTTGTCCAAAATTTAAACTAGCCGTCAAAGACGATCGACAGATCATCATGTACGATTAGTGTATTTTCAGCCAATACGGCCTGGACGATCTGGGAGGGTTAGACGATTAGAAGATGTGTTTGTTCTGATTGTCCTGTACGATTAGTTCAAAAAAAGAAATATCGTCCAGAACATCATTCTGTTCGGCCAGGCTTTATATGTTAGACGATGAAAAAATAACTTATCGTCCAGGACGATACATGGATCGTCTTTTACGATTATTTCAAAAAATTAATGATCGTCCAGCACATTGTATTGTTCGACTAGGACGATTAGTTCAAAACATTAAATATCGTCCAGTACATCGTAGTATTCGTCCAGGACGATTAAGGAAGAAACTAAGGTTTTTCAACTGATGGTCCAGTATGATCCTTCGATCATTCAAGACGATATGATCGACCAATCAAACCTCAATTATTTTCCTTAATCATCAGCTAATTTAGGCATAATTGTATTGCATCGTCCAGGACGATATCCTGTACGATGCCTAAAATAATAAAATGCCTAAAAGCGTTGGCGGCTGGATTTTTTCTGATTTGAGTCTATCGTCTAGGACGATGGTAAGATCGTCCAAGACGATTTGCTTAAATCAATTTTTTTTTTTCTTTTTTTTTAAGAAAACCCAGTGATTTGCTTATTTTGCTTTTGTTTTGTTTTGTTTTTTGCTTTGCTTGCATTTTTTTTGCTTTTGCTTTTTTTTCCTTTGTTTTTTTTTTTTGTTTTTTGCTTAAATCGGTTATCTTAACAAGGATGCCCTAATTAGGATTTTTATTTTTAACAGATCGTCTAGGACGATATTGGATCGTCCAGTACGATGTAATCAAAAATAAAAAACTCTTAAGCCAACATATTTTCTTCCCCTGAGTGTGTGTAAGGTTACTTAACATCATGATCCACAAAATTACATTTGACTCAAGAAAGGTAAAAAAAACTAGAAATACACTTACAAACTGACTCAATCTTAATTTAGCCAATCTTGAGCTGGCTTGATTTGCAATTGATCTTGTGAATTTGAAACATTAGTCGGTAGGACAATAATAAAAAACAGAAAAACTAAAAATGTTTGCTATCATCAAAATTATAATCTCTGAATCCAGATTTGCAATAAATTATATTTTGAATTTTACTAGACTAATTTATGATATGCTCAGAGGGCTGACACGGATAAATCATCTTATATTTGATTTATGATATGTGAGATTCTATGTTAGCTAAAATGAAAAAAAGTTATATATAGACATGAAAGAAAGGTCGATGAAGACTCAAATTTTTGGAGGATAGGTTGAGCAAAAATAGTACACCTCTTTGTTGCTTGACTCACTCATTAAATCCAAGATAAAATTGAATATATCTTTTATAATTAAATTTTAATTTGTTAGATAGTAATTATCTAATTTTATTTTCTTTAGATTATTTGAAGATATTCAAGTAAAAAATGACTTTAAGAAGACCCTCAACATATCTCTCCACAAAAAGATTTAGAAGTTTCAAATATGAGAAATATATGTTTAAAATATTATTTTTCAAATGAGGAGAGACGAATGATTAACATAGAACTAGCAAAATTCTTTGGATATTTAGAGCATTTTGATAATTAAGAATCATTTGTTGATAGATGGAGGATGGATCCAAAGAAGTGATTGATTCATAGAGCTTCAGCACCGCTACTTCAAACAATTGCAATAAAACTTTTTGGTCAAGTTTCATCATTCTCTTTTTGTGAGAGAAATTGAACCACATACTCATTCATTCAATCTATGAAGAAGAACAAAATTACTTCACAATTGACTGAAGATTTAGCTTACGTGCATACAATCAAGAAAGACCCCACTTTATATGCAAGGTAATAATAAGATGTGGGATAATATGGGTATGATAGGGGAATATTGAAGATTGCAAATCTTTCCCTTGATGAGCCAAAGTTGAAAGCAATGATATTCATGATGATGATATTGAAGATCAAAGACAAACCTCTAAAGCTAATCCTATTATTTCTTTTAATGAGTAGTTGAAGTTTGGTATTGTACTAAAAAGTGTTTTTGCTTATATTTTCATGGTTATACTATGCATTTTATACTAGACATTTTATATTATAAGCCAGACAAGTAATTATGACAATGATATATTATGTTTTGTCATTTTAATATGATGATATATTAAATTCTACACACTATTTAAAAATTGTAATGTCGTGTCAGCGTCGTACCCATGTCTGATATTTTCAAAGATAGTCGTGTCCCGTCCCTATGTCATATCGTGTCCGTGTTCGTGCATCTTAGATTACATATAAGTCCCTCTAACTACATATAGGTGGACCACCTTTGTACAAATTCCAAAAACTTTGTGAAATTCCCATTGGCTTTTTGAATTTGGGATTTTCTATGCACATATCATGTTTTCCTTAACTGATGTTTCTCACACTATTACAACTTGTGGAATTCTCTTCTGGAACACTAACAATAATAGCACTTAATCATGAACTCATGTAGTCCCCATTACCCCAATACATTTCAAAAGACCTCCTACGTGTTCAAACAATTATTTAACAAAAGTTGACTCTGCTTTCAGGCTAATTAATGAGAAACTACCAGCTTAGAAAACATTAGAGATTACCACCCCAAACCCTAATCACCTATAATCCAGAACATCATTTAATAATGAACTCACAATTTAAAACATCATTTAATCACAAACACATGAAATCCCCAATACGTCTCAAGGGCTCTCTTTTCAAACACAAGTGTTGCCTCTAATTTTACAATAATTAATGGGAATCACCAACTCGGAAAAATTAGAGACTACCTTAAACACCAATCCGAGAATGAACCATCATAATCAACATTTATTAGATGTTTAGATAATACCAATTTCATAATCAAAAGCTATTCCTAATAATTTCCAGTATAATCAAAGGTTGTTAAACAATTCAAGCTTTTACTTAACATAAGTATTAGAGCAGGAACAATTCGTAGGGGCTGTTTAGATGCAGGATTTAGGCCGGATTTGAGCAAAATCCAGCCAAACGGCAAAAAATGCAAAACCAAATCTCACGGCAAATCAAAGCCGCGGTTTACGGAAAATTCCCTCTTTTCGTGGTAAATCCCGGATTTACGAAATCCTTTGCTTCGGCGGATTTACGGGATTTGGCCGAAGAAGCGCGCGAAAGGGAGAAAGTTACCTTCACAACAATCGAGCTCCCGTTGTTGCTTCCGATAAAAAAAAAAGTCCTAACTTCCGATCCAACAGGAAGGGAACGCCGTCGAAGGAGCAAAGTCGACAGCGATCAAAACTCTACACTCATGCGAATGCGAAGGAACGAAGGCACTTTTATTTGTTCCGGTCCTGGTCACAGGACGTAGCTCTAGGTTTGGCCGCCATAGAATCTCTTAGGGCTGTAAGCTAATCAAACGTTGGACGAGCTACTCGTTGTTGTTTGGTTCGATTAAAGTTTGTTCGTTTAATTAACTAAACAAATGGATTTGAACAATATTTTAAATGCTCGATTCTTAAATAAACAAATTTGAACAATAATATGTTCGGCTCATTTATGTTCGCGAACAACATCATTTGAAGTTCGTGAACAAGCTCGACATTAAGCTCGATAAGAAGCTCGATAAAAGCTCGATTCGTGTTCGATTTTGAACTCTTGAATAAGCTCGATAAAAATAATTAATATTTGACTATAGAATTAATAAATATAAATAATCATTGCCTTTGTTACATAGACAATTGTTTTTATTATAAATGTGTTTGTTCATAGATATGTTCATGAACGTGTTTGTTTGATAGTTTAAAAATATTCGTTAAATATGTTCGCGAACAAGATCGATAAGCACTAAACGAACGAACATGAACTGAACATGAACCGAACATGAACACTCATTAATTTAAATGAACCAAACATGAACACAAATAATAAAGCTCAAACAAACATGAACCAAACTTGAACAAGCTGATATTAAATGAATACAAACATGAACACTCAGATACTCGGCTCGGCTCGGTTCGTTTGCAGCCCTAGAATCTCCCCACTATTTACCGCGCTCCGAGTCCCGACAATCCGAGCCGGAAGGGAACTAAGATAGTGGGGTATTTATGGATTTTGATAGGTATTGCTCTGTATTGCTCGGTATTGTTATATATTGATCGATTTTGCTTGGTAATAATCAATATCGTGTAAATACCGAGCAATACAGAGCAAATACCGAGTTGTACTGAGTTTTTTTTTAAAAACTCGGAGTATAAAAGGATGATTATTCTTTACCGACACCCGGAGGGTGTGAAAGGATGACAGTTCTCTACCGACACTAGAAGGGCGTAAAAGGATGACAATACTCTGCTGTACTGGGGATTGGTGGAAGAGAGGTTAATTGTAAGGGCTTCTCTGCCTTGTCGTAGGAGAAAAAGTAGGTCACTTTGAAATAGTATAATACCTGAAGAGGGAGTCTTTAGAGAGTGGACATAGTTCTAGTTGGATCGAACCACTACAAATTTCTGTGTTCTTTTATTTTTAGTTTTTATTGCATTTTTAACTTTTTTCACTTTTAATTTTGTGGTCAAAAAGTTTTTTTTTGATAAATTTTCATCGTGTTAAAATCATAAGAAAGATTTTCTATAATTTACCAAGCGTTTTTTAAATTTACCAATTCACCATCCCTCTTAGTTAGCATTGTAATAATTGTAATAGGTCTAATAACCTATACGGACATTCAAAAGGAAATGGTTAGTAATCAAAAATTGATACATCACCATACACTTACAAAGTGCATTGACTAGATAGATTAAAATTATATATATATATATATATATATTTGAATTTATTAACATAACTTCAATGTTCATATAGAATTAAAAAACAATTAATATATCAAAAATAATGTGTATATAAATTTGCCATGTTTATCTATAACAGATTAACAGTTTTCAAATATAAATTATATAAATTAAAAAAAAATTTGTAATAAAAAACTACTTTAAAACAGTAAAAAAAGGTTCAGTGCGAAAGAGCTTTTTTACTGTTTTTCTTTTTAGATCTAAAACACAATTTAGATTTGCTTTCAAAAAAAAAATTGTACTAAAAAATTATTTTTTTTATCGGAACTTCAAAAAATCACTTTTTCTATAGCATCTTCACAAAACATTAAGGCTTCGTTTGGGACGGCTTTCTTTCTGCTTCTTAAAGCAACTTTCTAGTACAAAATTAAAAATATTTGTACCAAAAAACTGCTTTAAGAAGCAAAAAGAAAGTCATCCCAAACGAAGCCTAAAAAAACTCTCCCAAACAAGCATATGCTAAAAATGTAGAAGAGACAACTGACAAGAAAACAAAAAACGCAAAGATACACAATGCAAAAACATAAAATTGAATTGCAATTAATAAAAACAAAGTTGTTGAATGCAAAAGAAATGAACTCCTAATGATAAATTTTATACTATTGCACTGTGCATCAAAGTAGATTACCAGCAAAAAAAATTAAATGTATTATCGTATTTTCAGTATTAAAATATGCAAATGATAAAAAAACCATCTGCGGGTTCCTAATGATAGTCACACCAGCGAAAGCTCTCCAGCTGGAACGGATCTCTTGATTAATTTAGCCCAAGACTCGTTTGTCTCAGTGATTATCTTCAAAGCATAATCCTACCGAAAAAAATAAAGAGGGATTTAGCAAAAAGAGAATGTATGAGGAATCAAAGTATAACAATGGAAACTGCTCCGAATATTCTGATAAGAAATCTTCATGCAGTATTCCGTTGAGGAACAAATGTTTACAGTTTTGCAAAGAGAAATACTGACAAGTATGAGCTCAGATGAGTGAATGGAGAAGGTATGGCCAAGTCGTTCGAAAATCGGAGCTTTTGTGCCTCACTGCCGGGAGAGATTATTCTGTGCAGTGTCCGAACGCGTCCGGAGACCAATCCGGACGCGCCAAGTCATCCAATGCACTGTGCATTGAATGACGTGGCGCGTCCGGATTGGCCTCCGGACACGTCCGGACACCGCACAGAATAATTTTTCCACTGCCGGACCTCCCTCAAATGCATTATATTCTTACCAGTTAATATCTAAGATATTGCATTTCCATTGTCACCTCTCCCAAAAAAAACAAAAAGACAATTGCAGTTAACATATCTATAGAACATGCATTTATTATGGGCGTATCCGGTGATGAAGCTTTCACTAATTCAAGGTTGGAGTGGGAGACAACTAATTAGTACTCTACGACAGCATTCTAGTTGTAGTACATGCACAATATAATCCTAACTACTAATTCCTAAGAAGTAACCAGCAATATTTTTTTTTTTCTCAAAACAAATGTCATGGTTATTGACCTTGTTTTCCATTTTAGATAAATTTAGGGGCATAAATGAGTCGAGTTGAGCTCAAATCATAGCAAATTCGAGCTTGGCTTGCCAACACAATAGCATCGCAAAGGAATCAGTCTTTCCTATGAACCAATCTTTCCTATGATTTTCCCTTTTCCATACGAAGGAAAAAAGGAAAGGTATGGTATTCCCTCTTTCAAAAGGAGTACGGATCACTGAGATTTGTGATCCTAAGTTAGAAGCTCAAATATAATAATAATTTTCAAAATAAATTTGGGAAAAAAAAAAATCATTCCCCTCACAAGAGAAGAAAAATACATTGTCATGTCCATATACGTGTTTATAAAGAGAGAGGAGAGATTGCAAAGGGATAAAAAATTGTGAGTTTGCAGAGGGACATTGGGGTCTTGCATAAGGGTTACGGCATCATATTTAAGCATTAGGTTAGTACTAAAATAACCATTTTAATAAAATGCATGCTCAAGAGCTCTACACATTTCTATAATTGATAGAAGTGGTCAATCACATGGGTTAAAAACTAAACCTGTATGATACCAATACATCAACAACAACAAGCCTTTATCCCACTACGTGGGGTCGGCTACATGAATCATTTTTCTCCATTGTGTCCTATTAAAGGTCAAATTCTCGTTTAAATCTAATAAAGAAAGGTCATTCCTAATATTTTCTAACCAAGTCTTTTTAGGTATGCCTCTACCTTTCTTAACATAAGTCAAATCTAATACCTCTACTCTCCTAACCGGGTCATTGGAAGGCCACCGTTTTATGTGACCAAATCATCTAAGGCGACTCTCTCTAATTTTATCTTCTACTGGAGCTACTCCAACTTTTTCACATATATGCTCATTTCGTATCCTATCTCTAAGGGTAAAGCCACTCATCCACCTGAGCATCCTCATCTCTGCCACACTTAACTTAGTATTATGCTTCTCTTTTAATGGCCAACATTCAGCACCATAAAGCATTGCAGGCCTCACTACCATCTTATAGAATTTTCCCTTAAGTTTGAGGGGTACTTTTCTATCACACAACAAGCCCGATGCATTTCTCCACTTCAACCATCCAACTTGAATTCTGTTGATAATATCTCCATCTATTTCACCATCATTCTGAACAATAGATCCAAGATATCTAAAACGCATACTCTTATTAATGACTTGATCGCCCAAAGTCACAATCCCCTCACTAGGCCTATTACTACTAAAATTACACTCCATATATTCCGTTTTAGATCTACTCAAGCGAAAACCTTTAGTCTCTAATGTTGACCTCCATAATTCAAGTTTACCTTCAACTCCCTCCCGAGTCTTATCAATAAGAAAAATATCATCAGCAAAAAGCATACATCAAGGTACATCCTCTTGCAAATGTCTAGTGAGAACATCCATGACTAAAGCAAAAAGATATGGGCTTAAGGCTGATCCTTGATGTAACCCAATCGAAATTGGGAAATACTTGGTCAATCCACCTTGTGTTTGAACACAAGTAATAGCTCCTGCATACATATCTTTAATGATTTGAATATAGGCATTATTGACTCCTTTCTTTTCAAGAACTCTCCATAGCACTTCTCTTGGAACTTTATCATATGCTTTTTCTAAATCAATAAATATCATATGTAGATCCTCCTTATTTTCTCTATATTTCTCCATCAAACCTCTTAATAAATGTATGGCTTCCATAGTCGACCTACCTGGCATGAATCCAAATTGATTTTGAGAAACATTAGTATCACGCCGCAACATATGCTCCATAACTCGCTCCCATAGTTTTAAAGTATGACACATTAACTTAATTCCTCTATAATTCGCACAATCTTGTGCATCACCTTTATTCTTAAAAATAAGAATTAACACACTCATTCCCCACTCATCTGGCATCTTTTTAGTCTTCAAAATAGTACTAAAAAGTTTAGTAAGCCAAGAAATTCCTTCATCTCCTAAGCATTTCCACACCTCTATTAGAATATCATCATGTCCAACAGCTTTTCCACCCTTCATTTTCTTTAAAGCTTCTCTAACTTCGATTTTATTAATACGCCGATAAAAACAAAAATCTTTATTTTCATTTAGGATGCTAAGGTCATTATAGTTAATCTTATTTTCACAATTTTCATTAAAAAGTTTAGCAAAATCTCTCATCCACATTTGTTGAATATCATCTTCTAAGAAAAGTATTTTTTGATCTTCATCCTTAATACACTTCAGTTGAACTAAATCCTTACTACTCATATCTCTTTGCTTGGCTAACTTATACATATATCTTTCTCCCTCTTTAGTATCTAATTTATTATATAAATCACTAAAAGCTAATGTCTTTGCATCACATATTGCTTTTTTAGATTCTTTACGAGCCTCTTTATATCTTTCCCAATTATCAGAATTTTTAAAATTAAACAAATTTTTATAACAAATTTTCTTATTTTTAATCTTTTCTTGCACATTTGGATTCTACCACAAACTATTTTTACTATTAGGAACTTTTTCCTTTGATACTCCAAGCACATCTTTTGCAATATTCTTAATATCACTAGACACTTTTTTCCACATAACATTACCATCCTCATGCATAGATAAAACCTTAAGATCTAAAATCTTACTCTTAAAAATATTTTTGTTAATATTCTAAACCAATAAGTAGCAAAAAATTTCCAACATATTTCTAATAGGGGGTAGGTAAACAAGCATGGTGAAATTTGCCATCGATAATGATATAGCCCATATGTAAGTAGTCATGCTTCATCACTCCTTAAAAAGTTTCACTGTACTAATGGCTTTTTTCCTAGTACTTTTAAAACATGCACTTGTAAGAACATCTTAAATAAAGGAAAGCAGAAATGAAAAGGCAAAATTACCTTGTTTGCAGGCTTGTTGCCTAGGCCAAATTGATTAGCAGGTTTTCCATCTGGAATCTTGTAATCCCTGAACCAGTCTCTTATGGCGGTAAGAGTACCCTGCAGCAACAAAGGCGCAAAAAAAAAGTTTCAGATGCAAGGAAGATGGCATGTATCTATCAAAAAAATCAGAGAACTTATGGAAAATAAATATTGACGATGTGGAATTTTGGAAATATCAAGTTCCCGAGGGATATATAAAAAATATAATAGACAAGAGATTGGTAACAGCGTAATGATACCGGAAAATATATCTCAACATCATTCATATCATTTACAAGAGAAGCTCTGGGATCATTCAAGGAAATTGCAACTATCTTCCAATCAAGTTCGCCTTCGTCAATCATAGCCAAGGCCGCCACAGGTTTGACCCTTAGAACATCACCAATTTTACCCCGAGCATCACCAATCTCAACAACATCAACTGCAAAAAAAATGTTGAACAAAAAGAGGATATGACAAATGAAATTAAACAAGTACAATGAGTTGTTTTAGAGTAAAAGCTCAAAATGGTCCCCCAACTATTAATAAATGCCTAATTTAGTCTCGGAGTTTCAAAACTCCCAATTTAGTCCCTCAACTGTTATAAATTGATCCAATTAAGTCCCAAAGGCTAAAATAAGTGTTAAAGTTAACTCTAAAGTTAAATATGAGGATAATTTAGATAATATAAGTGTATGTGAGATTATATTGCATGTACTGTTCTATTTTATTATTTAATAAATTATAATACATACTTAACGTACTAAATAATAAGGATATATAATTAGTGAAAAAATTATATATTTTAAAGCAAAATCTAAATTATTTTCTAAGTAATTGATAAGAAAACATGTATCCGTCTCCTTGTGAATGTCACACATTGCTCGTCGTTTCCATCTCTGGATGTTGAATCGCTTTGTGATCGCTCAGGCTCTTGCGATCACTACCAACAGAACGGCCTCTCATGTCACTCGCGGTCACTTGTAGTAGCACACATCTTGCATCTCGCTCACAACACATCGCGTCACTCACAATCGCTCGTAGCAGCACAGCATTTAGTGTCTCGCTCGCAGAACGTCGAAGCGTGGTGCTTTGCTCACAGCTGCAGGTCTTCTCCCTCACACAATTCGGTCTCAAGTTCCGTCTCCAAGAAATATAAAGAGAAAACGAACGATCAGGTAAGAAGCACTTTTACTAAAATACCCGCAAAAAAGCAAATGCTTGCAACTTCTTCCATTAATTTAAACAGAAATTTTAATAGATGGACCAAATTTGACAATTTTTAATAATTGAGGGATTAAATTGAGGCAATGTAAAATTCTAGGACTAAATTGAACATTTATCAATATTAGGGAGACTATTTTGAGCTTTTACTCAATTATTTTATACTAATAGGAGATAAAATAAATAGATGAACTTCAATGATTTTTCACCTGGATCATTATCACCTAGGGCCCCCTCAACCTCTGGGTTGGCATATGATGGGTCCTCCCATGTCTGTGGAAGTAGCCCATAATTCCACTTTATATTGTACCTGAACAACATATCAACAAGCAACTGAAAATATTAATATTTTGAAAAAAAAATGCTGAAAAAATGTCAATAGAGTTTAATAAATCCAAAACACCTTGCAAGAATGTGTTTAAATCCTAAATTAGGCAGATTGGCAAAAGCTAGTTAATCCCTACAAAAACTGGATAGATCAAAGGTTTGCATTAGTTATAACAACTAGAAAAAGATGGTATCCGACTATCTTTAATCTAAGTGTGGGTGTATAATGAGCAACAAATATGATAACTTAAGTTAAAATTATTAAATAGCCATGATCAGAACCAGCAAACTTATTCCAACCATATGAATGAGCATTCATCCAAAAAGTTCATAATAAAGATTGAAAAACTTTTCTAAGAATAATGCAAGCATTTTATAATGCAATCCCTTTCACTTAATGCATCAGAACAAATTATGTCAACTACCCAGTGTTTAAACTCTTTCTTCAATTTATCCTGGAATCATTCTCAGTGATGTTTGTTCTAGGGTGGCTTGCCACCAAAGCAAACTTGAATACGTACACTTACAAGGGTTCCCTCAATATATTGCTGGAATTCCAATCCAGATTATTTCTGAGTGAACTATCATAAGTTTGTGAAATTTCTACGAAAAGAATAGCCCAATGCCTTCTAATATTAGTTACAGTACACATTGGTATCACCTTGCTTATCTCTGCACTTGACTAGCTCTAGCACCATACCAATGAACCTATATTCAAAAACATTTATCTTAAGTTGGGGTACTGAACCAACATTATTCAGTAGAATCAGCTTGGTTTGTAATAAATCATTTCAATTATTGATGGTAAATATTCCAATTTCAGTTAATTAATTTTGTTTTGGCTATGGCATTTAAAAAGACAAACCAACAAAAAATTTGTAAGAATATATAGATATTGATATTGAAATTGGATTCTCAATTTGGATCTAAAGACCTATCCAAATTCATACAAAAATTTGGGTAAAAGAATGACTTTTAAATTCTGATTTGGATTCTAAATTCAGGACTATATTCAAACTCAGTCCAATCTAAATTTCAGTTCAAGGAAACTATAATTCTAGCAAAACAGAACTGAAGTGGCTGAATAAATTTTCATCAGTTTAATTAATTTTTTGGTTTGAATTTAGATCTCTTTAGATTAAAGACTGGCAGAAAATAAAACCTAACATTTCATCATCTTGTATCCGAATCAACTGAATGACAGACAAATTCTTAAGCTTGACTTGCATGAGAACTATCCGACAAAATAGAAAATTACAATTTTTTTTTGAAAAGATACATTAAAAATGTATGACATTGAACGTATTTAAAATTTCATAAACACATCATTATAACCATGATGAAATAAAACTTTGATACGATTGTCATGTTTCTAACATTTTTGTTATGGAGAAGGTTTTTAACATACTTCCTATTTCTATAAGACCTTATAAAGAATGCAGAGCATGTAGCAATAATTCAAACCTTTCTATTGCAAGACCTAGGGAGAAGGACAAGCTACTCTCCCACCACAGTGCAATTTCAAAATTTTACAGAAATGCGTCTAGGTGAGTAGAGAAAGAAAGAGAGAAAGATAGCAAGAGATAAATAGATAGAAAGAGAAGAGTTTGGGAGGCAAAAGCTTTTAGAGTGAGGGAAGGAGGGAACAACTTCAAGAGAAAGAGCAAGAGAGGGGTGTAGGGGAACAACTTTTTGGCTTGATAAACAGATGCTCTTTGATGTCAAGTAAACCTTTGATTAGTATTACCCTATAAAAAATATAAAATAGGTGGTTTTCCACAATAAAAAATGTTTACAGCTCAAAAATAGTGATATGAGCTGCCATTGAGTCTAAAAGGATAAAAAATAGAAATAGAGTTCGTAAGCAAATCTCAAGTACAAGAATTCAAAAATCTTACATTTGCATGCACGTCCATGTTCAAAACACAAAAGTTCTCCAGCTTGTTTTAAATGAATCATGTGTGTTTTTCGGTGGCAAGAATAAAAATCACATCTCAACACTTATTTGTTCCATAAATAGTGCTTCATTTCATCCCATATACGTCCTAAACAAGGTTCATATCATACAGGCAAGTTTCAACTATACATGGAATCATATACTTATTTTAAAGAAATTATCTTAAGCAAGCTAAGCTCTTTCAATAATGGACAACAGACAAGCTCCACTACATCAAGACCAAAACAGACTAGGAACATGCTAGTATGATTCACACTCGAATACATATCAAGTTTGCACAACTGAAGAAGCCATGTTACTTTCTATCACAATGAATGCTGAGATCTTAGGCTAATGATATCTGGGAGATACTGAAACATGAAAAAAAGAAAAAAAAGAAAAAAAAAAAAGGGTTCGGTATATTTCCAAATTCCATGGTTCCAAGCATCATTTTCACCTTAGAGAGACTGAATGAGTGACGAAAATACTGCTTTGCACCATAGAGTGATTGATCTGAGTGTAAGGATTCCACCTTCACATATAATGATTTCCATCAACAAACCACCGAAAGCTAAACAAGCAACCTAGGTTTCGTTTGAGACAACTTTCTTTCTGCTTCCTAAAGAGGCTTCCTAGTACAAAAATTAAAAATTTTATACTAAGAAGTTGCTTTAAGAAGCAATAAGAAAGTCGTTCCAAACGAAGCCCTAATCTTCACATACATGCATTATATGATCACAATTCAACTTTATGTTTGTGTTGTTAGCATCTTTAAACAGCAATTGCATAAATGACATTAAAATCCAATTTTGATGGCATCTATGTGCCAACAAAATAAGCCAACATCTAGATGTAAGGTTATCTAATGCTTAAAAAAAATGGCAACAAGAAAATTCTTAAGGCTGCTTGGTTCAATGCTATTTAGGTATATGTGTTATTAAAATGAAAAAAAGATATTAGATATGTCAAAAATTGTGAGTATGATTCAGTATGTAAAAAATGTCGGTGTTATCAGTATTAAAAAAAATTATTCAATGTTATTTTTTTATTTTATACACCTATAGTAAAATTACCCTTTTTCCATATCTCCTGAACACAATTTAAAATAGAATTACATATTAAGAACAGCTCACTTCTTGCCATACCTTAAAAAAATTCTAACAGAAAGTAATTAGGCCATGGAAATAACAACTACAACGTCCTATAAATAATATAAAATTAAAAAAAGCTTTATAAAACTCTTTTCTTTTTTGTTCTTCCTCTATTTGTAAATGAAGGACGACTGCAAGACCAACAAACATTTAAAAGAAAATGCACAGGGAAGCGATTTGGATGATGCTGGTACCAAACCCACTGCATTCGATAAAGAACATGGTTATTAAAATAGAAGTCCTAGGAGCAACTTGTACAAAATGACAAAAAGAAAGAAAAATAAAAAAATATTTCAGACCATCAAAGGCAAACAAACAAAAAGTTTTTGCATCTTACGGATAGTATCTAAGTTTTCCCTTCTTTGTATCCTGCTTTATGGGAGTGAAAGGCTCATCGGTGGCGACCTCCATCTTAGCGCTCGAATCCTTGGGGATCTCCACAACAAAATTGAACACCCCGTCCCCCAAATGCAACGGAATGTCATGCCACGGTGAAACCTAATCATTCCCACCACGGATTAAAACCCTCAATCTGTGATTTTTTTAGAGAGGGGGAGAGGAAAAGGTACCTTCTTGCCCGCCGAATCGATGAAGAAGGCGCGGTAATCCAGCGTTTCCGGCGTGCCCTCCTCCTTGACGCTGAAATTGGTCTTGTAGAGAGCTGTGCAGGTTAAGAGGTGGCGGCGTGACCGGAGGGATACGGCGGCGGGAGAAACTCTCTTTGGAGAGAATGATGGGAACTTCACGAGAAGCCCGTATCTTGCTGAGTGGACATGGAGAGCGCCGCCGACTGAGGCGGTGAGCCTCGCGGCCGTCAAAGTTGCCGTCGACGCCGGTGCTAGCACCATGGAAAGAAAGGAATCTGGGCCAATGGATTGGGCGACTGTGCCTGGTATCTCTTATTTGGCATATGGAGATTCGTAGTAACGCTCGTACATGGTAGTGGCGCCCTGATAGGTCCGATTGAATACATAATGGTCGTACTCAACCGATTAAAAAAGGGCTTGCCAGATATAAAATTACATAAGTACCCTGAGAACAAAAATTATTTTATATTAGCAATTTTTTTAGGTATTAAATTTTTAAGTATAATACATTTAAATTTATTGAATTAACTTTAAAACGAGTATAGTGTATAAAATATTTATTAAACTTTATATTATATATTTAAAAATAAATTTAGTGATTTTAAGATTAATCCTACTAAAAAACCGGTCGGTTGTCCTTTGCCAAAAATTTTTTAATTATATGTAATAATAAAATATTAATATTTTTAAGATTGGATATTATATAACATTTAAAAAATTAGTAGAATTGTTATTCTCTTATTCATTATATGGAATTTTAGAATGATAAAGTATTAAATTAATATATATTTTTAATGATATTAAATTTATAAATTAAAAAATATCAATTTTATCTCTTTGTTAATTTTAAAACATTATGTAATAAGTAGAGTGATTATATATTTGATAAATTACATCTCTACAATTTATATATTTTCATTATTGTTGCGGGCTGGAAGATTCAAGACGAAAGAGT